ATCCCGCCTTTTTCGCACATCGCATCCCGACCTCACGGCTCGGCTGGTAACCCGCGCTTCGGGCCTACGCTTCGACACTTTCCCAACCTCAGTCCCAGGCTCGACGCGCGACAACCACAGTCCATTACCGTTACCACTATTGTTTCGCTATATAATCCTTCGCTCATGCCTTCGCTCATTGTACTTTTGCTTCGATAGTGCAATTCTCGTTCCTTCACTCAATTGCACACGTAACAGCACTCCAGCTCTACCTCCTTACACGTAGTAGAAGCATTACCACTCCATTAGTAACCTAGCTCCTATCCAAAGGCGTCAAAAGGACAAAGAATGTCACGTAACAGGGGTGAGCAGCAGTAGCGCTCCCCTTTGCCTATGCTTATGATTAGGTAATAGCCGTCATCTTCCCACCACCCGACCTCCGCTTCCCCGCCACCCCATCTCCCCTGCTCGCCGACCGATCTCCCGTGCAACCCGCCCGAGTTCCCGTTCCCGCGGCCCGATCTCCCATTTCTGCCGCCCAATATCCCCTTCTCGCCTCCTCTCGCCTCCTCTCGCCTCCCCGCGCGTGCTCCTCTCGCCTCTCAGCGCGTGCTCCTCTTCCCTCCCAGCGCGTGCTCCTCTCCCCTCCGCGTGCGTGCTCCTCTCCCCTCCGCGTGCGTGCTCCTCTCCCCTCCGCGTGCGTGCTCCTCTCCCCTCCGCGTGCGTGCTCCTCTCCCCTCCGCGTGCGTGCTCCTCTCGCCTCCCCACGCGTGCTCCTCTCCCCTCCGCGTGCGTGCTCCTCTCCCCTCCGCGTGCGTGCTCCTCTCCCCTCCGCGTGCGTGCTCCTCTCCCCTCCGCGTGCGTGCTCCTCTCCCCTCCGCGTGCGTGCTCCTCTCGCCTCCCCACGCGTGCTCCTCTCCCCTCCCCGTGCGTGCTCCTCTCGTCTATCCGCGCGTGCTCCTCTCCCCTCCCCGTGCGTGCTCCTCTCGTCTCTCCGCGCGTGCTCCTCTCCCCTCCCCGCGCGTGCTCCTCTCGCCTCTCAGCGCGTGCTCCTCTTCCCTCCCAGCGCGTGCTCCTCTCCCCTCCGCGTGCGTGCTCCTCTCCCCTCCGCGTGCGTGCTCCTCTCCCCTCCGCGTGCGTGCTCCTCTCCCCTCCGCGTGCGTGCTCCTCTCCCCTCCGCGTGCGTGCTCCTCTCGCCTCCCCACGCGTGCTCCTCTCCCCTCCCCGTGCGTGCTCCTCTCGTCTATCCGCGCGTGCTCCTCTCCCCTCCCCGTGCGTGCTCCTCTCGTCTCTCCGCGCGTGCTCCTCTCCCCTCCCCGCGCGTGCTCCTCTCGCCTCTCAGCGCGTGCTCCTCTCTCTCCCCTCCGCGTGCGTGCTCCTCTCCCCTCCGCGTGCGTGCTCCTCTCCCCTCCGCGTGCGTGCTCCTCTCCCCTCCGCGTGCGTGCTCCTCTCCCCTCCGCGTGCGTGCTCCTCTCGCCTCCCCACGCGTGCTCCTCTCCCCTCCCCGTGCGTGCTCCTCTCGTCTATCCGCGCGTGCTCCTCTCCCCTCCCCGTGCGTGCTCCTCTCGTCTCTCCGCGCGTGCTCCTCTCCCCTCCCCGCGCGTGCTCCTCTCGCCTCTCAGCGCGTGCTCCTCTTCCCTCCCAGCGCGTGCTCCTCTCCCCTCCGCGTGCGTGCTCCTCTCCCCTCCGCGTGCGTGCTCCTCTCCCCTCCGCGTGCGTGCTCCTCTCGTCTCTCCGCGCGTGCTCCTCTCCCCTCCCCGTGTGTGCTCCTCTCGCCTCCTCGCGCGGCATCCCCCCTGCACGCCCTCATTTCCCCCCCTGCACGACCTCATTTCCCCCCCTGCACACCCTCATTTCCCCCCCTGCACGCCCTCATTTCCCCCCCTGCAGGCTCTCATTACCCCCCCTTTTATGCACCCGTTTCCCCTCTGCTCACTCTCTTTCACCCCTCACTCACGCGTTTTCCCCTCTGCTCACTCTCTTTCCCCCACACTCACCCTTTCTCCCCTCTGCCCACTCTGTTTCCCCCGACACTCACCTTCTTACCGAATTCTCACTTTTCATTCACCCCTTTTTCCAATCCCGCTTCCCTTTTTCCGTCTCTCCTTCATGCCTCCCACCACCTCTCCCTGCCTTCCTTGCTTCTCTCCTTATCTCCTTCATGCCTCCCACCATCTCGTTTTCCTTCTCATCTCTTGTGGGCCACATCACAAGGCCCGTCTGCCCTCTCACACTCTTCCTGCCATTCTCACTCTCGCAATCCTCACCGCCGTCCCTTCCTTTCTGTAACCAATCTCCCCTCCCCCCTTTTCCCTTCCTTCCCTCCACTTCCTCCCCTTCCCTTCCTTCTCTCCCCATCATTCCCTCGCCTTCCTCCCCTCCCCTTCATCCCCATCCCTGCCCTTTCCTCCCTGCCCTTCCCTTCTCGACCCCGCCCTTCTATGTCACTCCTCGCCTTCTGCCCTCCAGTTCATGTGCATGTGCTGCCATCACTTTTGCCCCATACATGCATCTTATTAACTCATGTTTACTCGCTTGTATTCCCTTTTCACCCTCCGTCCCTTCAAATCTACTACCCATCTCCCTGCCTTTCCATCACACCTCCCTGCCTTCTCATGGATTTGAGGCACCATTGCGACACCAGGTGTCATACAACCTGTAATGCATATGCAAAGCTACAAGCCTGTATAGGAACATGCCAGTATTAGGGACATGCCTCTGTCTATCCTTCTGACACTCTCAGTGTCCATACATCTTGGAAGAATATCTTGCACTGCAGAAAGAAAAGTACATATTGTGCCTTTGATATGGATATCTCCTACACTAATACAGTATCATGCTTGCGTACAACACACAAGAAAAACAGGTGGTGGTACGGTGTAGAGCGTGGACTAGCTTTAGCTGCGCCTCAGCTTGCTCCTCTGCTTCACCACTGCAAATACAGGGAGTGGAGTAGGCAGGAATAATTGTGTGAAGGAACATGGGGGAGGTGGTGTGAGGTGCCAAAGGAACAACTGCAAGGGAACACAAGCAAGCGCACATGATGAAAGCATGTGGGGAGACAGTGATGGGTGCACATGCATGGGAACTACGGTAGTGGGCAGGTGAGGTGTGAAGGGGAAGGGGAGGGCATGAAAAGGAAGGGAAGGGTTGAGAACGGATGGGGAAGGGAAGCGCAGGGCAGGGAGGGAAAGGCAGGGATGGGGAGGGCAGGGTGGAACAGGGCAGAGGGTGGGGGGAAGGAGGGCTGAGGGGATGGGGGGAAGCAGGAAAGGGGATGGGGGGGAGCAGGAAAGGGGATGGGGGAAAGCAGGGAAGGGGATGGGGGGGAGCAGGGAAGGGGATGGGGGGAAGCAGGGAAGGGGATGGGGGAAAGCAGGGAAGGGGATGGGGGGGAGCAGGGAAGGGGATGGGGGGAAGCAGGGAAGGGGATGGGGGGAAGCAGGGGGGGAACGGAGGAGAAGCAGGGGGGGAAATAGAGAGCAGAGGGGAAATTGATGGAAAAGAAGAGCGGGAATTGATGGGGAGCAGAAGGGGGAATGACGGGATTTATCGCAACCCGTCGTTCGCACCTAATCAGGGCGGCAGGGAGAATGAGTGGAAAGGCAAGGGGGGTGGAGGAAAGGATAAGGGTTTGGGGAGGAGAGAACGGAGATAGGGAGGATGGACGCTGGCAAGCAGGAGCGCCTTTCCTGTCTCCACTCACCTCCCCTCCCATTTCCTCCCCTCCACATCCCACCTACCCCCTCCCCTCCCCCCCCTGCTCCTTCTCCCCGCCTCCACTCCAACCCGCCTCTCCCCCGCTCTCCTCCCGTTCCTTTCTCTCCCTCTTCCGCCGCCTCTCTCCCGCCCTTCCCCTCCTCTCTCCGCTCCTCCGCTCCCTACTTGCTCCTGCTTCACTCCCTCTCCCACTCCCCCGCTCGGCCCCCATCCCCCCTGCAACCAGTCGACGGCAAGCTGGACGACCGAGTTTTGGGACATGTTTGGCGGCTTCGCGCCACTGGCTGCACTTGCGCTCGCAATCGCCCCACTTGTCCAGGCGCTGCTGCACTGTGCGCTGTTCTTGTGTTGTGCTGTATTACACGATGTGCTCTTCACCCTGCTACGCCAAGGACCTGCATTCATGCATGACCCCCTGCATGCACGCCCCCTCGTCGCGTCCCCTCCCGTCCCTCCCGTTCCGCCCCGTACCGTCGCATCCCGCCCCTTCCGCGTGCTCCTCTTCCCTCCCTTCCATTTGCGTCCGGTCTCGTCGCATCCCGCCTTCCCGTCACGTCCCCTCCCGGCCCCTCGTCGAGATTCTTACCTTCCTGTGCCGTCCCGTCCCGTCCCTCCAGTCCCTTCCCGTCCAGTCCTGTCCAGTCCCGTCGGTTCCCGTACTGTCCCGTCCTGCCCCATCGCGTCCCTTACCTGGCGCGCCTCATTACCTGGACATGGTTCACGATAAGCACGGGATGTACCCTGGTCGCCGCTGATACTGATAAATGAAGACCTAATTTCAAGTTTATAGGTCGGCCGTATATGCTGATCAACGAGAATCTAACTTTTGTGTAAGAGGTAACCGCGGTTGCTAGTGGAAAGAGTTTTACTCTTGAACCTGAGCCTAGTGCTAGTGCGAAATCGGATTTATGAGTTCTGTCAGTCTCATATTTTTGAGCTATTGTAAATGCTTGATCCGTGTGACAACCTGGTCGCCGGTGGGGGAGTTTGGGCGATCGTGTTGTCGCCGTTCAGGTGTGTTTTCCAAACCCACCTAGGTGCACGATCGCATGATTGGTTTGGCACGTCCCTGCGCATACCGCCAAGCAAGTTTGTAGGTTCCCAACCAATCGTTTCAACCTGGGCCAACCTTCTGTGGAGTTGTGCGACAGTTTGAGGGTTACCGGATACCAAGCGTTTAACACTTGGTTGGGACACAGAAATATGAGACGCGAGCTTTAATCTCGAGGTCCCAAATCCTTTCAATTCAAATCATAGCGTCGAACAAAGTGTGACGATTTCGAGCTGTACCGAGCGCCATCATGTTTAGAAAGCCTACCGACATTCGCGGGAAGCAGCGTTTGTCAGGAGCGGACGGAAAGAAGCTTCGGCGAAAAATTCAAGACAAGTATCCAGGCACCACCGACGAACAGCTGGAGGCGATCCTGCCGGCCAAGGTGCTTCTCAGTAGCTTCTGCTTCAACCTCGTATTATCCCCGCGGTTATCCACGCAGGCCCACGCATTCGCCTCCTGATAACCCGCGAGTTGAATCCTCGCCGTTCGTTGAACCCCGTCGTCCGTAATCCGCCCTGATGCTTGCGCTCTCCGGATTCCCCGCTGTCGTTAGTGGTTGAAGATTTTTATTCCGGCATTTCCAGGCCTTTCTTTCACGGAAAGCCGATTAATTTGTCTGCTGGTCCAGGCTGACGTGGCGGTGACGAGGCTGGTGAATCGCGTGCTGGTGTACGGACTCGAGAACGGTCTGCCCATGCTCTTCGATTGCGACGGCCGCGGCACGGAAATCTACCCCACTGGTAACCCCACTGATACTCGCGGGAACCCCTCCCACCCTCTCTTCTCTTTCCCTCCCTTCCCGCTCCTCTCCACTGGTCGTGCGGGTGTAATGAATTTAATAAGTTTGATGTTTTCCCCCTTTCCTCCCCTCCCATCCATCTTGAGAAGTTTTTTTACCCAACCCTGACACACCCACACCCTGCAACCTCACACCCCATCGGTTCCCAGGGTTTGTGCAGCGGAGCTGGCCCGCCCTGGTGGCATCCCTCCTGCTCAAGTGTGACGAGGTGGCGTTTGAAACGACTCAAGAGTCATCTTTCACACCAATCCTCTCACTCACCCTGCAACCCCACTTCCCATCCATCCGCAGTGTTTGCGCTCTGGCGTGTACCCGACCTGCTGCCATCGTTTCTTCTCACGGGCGAGGAGGTTTCCCGCTATCTTCTTTCAGGGGCTGACCTTATGGCGCCAGGCGTGAAGGTAGGGTGAGGGTATGGTGCACGCAGCACCTAGTGCAGTGCGAGCTCTTGTTTTGGACTGTTTTCACTAGAATCATCTTAAAATTCTCGCAAAACTACCACACGTGGTCCTTAACCTTCCATCCTCTCCCCTCAATACCACCCTCCCTCGCTTCCCTTCTCCTCTTCCCCACCCCCCCGTTTCCCCAAACCCCCGCTGTTCCCCCCTGGTCCGCACCTACAATGACCCCGGCAGGTGCCTGTCGAAGGTTTGCCAGCGTTCCAACGAGGGGAAGTGTGGTCGGTGAAGGTTCCAGGGAACTCATGCCCCATTGCTGTACGTATAACGTGCCTCTCCCCTTTCATCACAATGCCCCATCCTGTTCCGTGCTCCACCTTTCTCGTATCAAAAGTGACGCGCCTTCCAATCCGTAGTTGTGTCTACTTCCCTCTGCCTGCACTCTCTTTTTGGCAGTCGTGGCACATGCCTGCTATAGGAGTGAATTTGGTTGAGTTGAAGACGGCCGCGGCACAGTAATGGGCAATGATAGCGAATTAAATTTAGAATCTGCTGGAACAGCTTTAAGGGACATTCATCTTCACTCTGCAGAAGCTTGTGATGCGCTGTTTTCGTTCATCTTTCTATGTGCATGTGAGCATGGATTTGCACACGTGTGTGTGTGTGTGTGTGTGTGTGTGTGTGTGTGTGTGCGTGCGTGCGTGCGTGCGTGCGTGCGTGCGTGCGTGCGTGCGTGCGTGCGTGCGTGCGTGCGTGCGTGCGTGCGTGCGTGCGTGCGGGCGGGGGCGGGCGTGCGGGCGGGGGCGGGCGTGCGGGCGGGCGTGCGTGCGGGCGGGGGCGGGGGCGTGGGCGTGGGCGTGGGCGTGGGCGTGGGCGTGGGCGTGGGCGTGGGCGTGTGCGTGTGCGTGTGCGTGTGCGTGTGCGTGCGTGCGTGTGCGTGCGTGCGTGCGTGCGTGCGTGCGTGCGTGCGTGCGTGCGTGCGAGTGCTTGTGAATGTTTGTGTTCACGCACACCAGGTGGGCATCACAGTGTTAGGGAGGGAAGAGGTTATCCAGGCAGGCATGCGAGGAAAGCTCCTCAGAATAACCCACTCTTACCGCGACTCGTTATGGTCAGTATGGCTAAATTTTGAGGCGCTCGCTTATAAAGTCGCCTACAAGCTCCTCCAAATATCATTGTGAATCTTTATTGGTCAGTATGACAGGCAACAAGTGTTCTTATTCAGCGTCTTCCTAGCGTAGGTGGAGCGTCGCACTATGGTGACGGCCTGTTTTCTTACACATGTGCCCAAGTGATCTCAAAAGACAGCAGAACCCAACAGTTACCCGAGCTCACGCCAGCACTCTCTCATCCCCTAATGACCGGACTGTGGTGAAGACGACCGCTACAAATATCTTAGCCCCTACATTAATTGGTCTGTTGTCCCCTGCGGTCTGTGGTTTGACACCTCGAATTTTATAATCAGGGTCTATATGTGGTCAAGACCACACCTGTCTAGTCTTGGTCAACCTAACTTCACCGCCAGCCGTCTATGTTCTGGTGGTCCAACATGGGTTGACCCCATTCTCCTGTCGTACGGGCACCCTTGCACTTCCTTCCCAACTCAACACTCTGGATATTCATATATGGCCCCTCCCTCTCCTGCCCTCCCTGCCATGGTACAGGGAGTCTGCAAAAGGATCATATGTGCCCAACAAGGGCTTCCTGCCAGATATGGTTGCTTCTGACCCTGATGCACAGCCCACGCTGTTGGATGCACCACCTGCTGTTGCACCTGAAGATTTCCTTAAAGATTCACCTGAAGGTGACTCTGGTGCTGCTGCAGCTTGTGGAGGAGAGAGTGAGGGTAGGAGTGGTTGGGAGGGAGAGGCAGCACCGGTGGCTAGTGAGGGACTAGCAGCAGTGGCAGCAGCAAGAGGAGGAGAGAGAGGAGTAGGGGAAGGAGCTACAGCAGGAGCAGAAGCGACAGCAGGAGCAGAAGGAGCAGCGGAAGGAGCAGTAGCAAGAGATTTATCAGAGCACCTATCAGAGTCCCTGCAGGAACAGTGCATCCGTGGCAGTGCTGTTGCTGCTGCTGTTGCTGCTGGTGATGGTGATGCTGCGTCAGCTGCTGCTACTGCTGTTCTGGGCAGGGAGGGAGATATAAAAGCAGCTGGTGCAGGCGACGAGTGCATACGTGCAGCAGCACCGTCAGCACTGACGCCAGCACAAATGGATGAGCTGTTGGATCTGTGTCTGCTGCAGGCCCTCTCTGTCTCTGTCAAACCCTCGCACCTGCCCCTGCCAGCCAGCTCTCTCTGGTAAGCTGTTCAACGTCAATCAATCATCTCATGTGATCATTGCTTGGTACTTCAGCCTTCCTGCTCTCTTCACTACAGGTGATTGCGCATGGGACAAGAATGGCGGCTTAAATTGCGCGTAGCCACGTATTTCCCACAAATCTCCTAGCTTACCGGTGTTGGCATGGCATGACATACCCGCACGTGTTCTCATGTGTTGTCAAATACGAAGTGCATATCATGTGATTCATGTGATTCGTTGCTGTCATGGCACCATGCTATTGGTGCTGGCAGGTCCAATCACGTGCTGCCATGTCGGCCGCCCGGCACAACAGTGGACATAAAGAAGTCGTCTCACAAGAAGCTGAGCAAGTGGCTGCATGCCAAGGCGGTTGATGGGCTGGTGAGTGCGTCTCAATGATGAAGTTGTGAAAGTGAGTGACCTTGTAATTGAATGTGTTTAAATAATTGGGTGAATGAGTGCGTTTGATTGATTGGGTGCATGGGTTTGTGTGAGTTTGCGTGAATGAATGTGCTCGATTGATTGTGTGATTGAGTGTGTCTACGTTTCTTAATTGTGATTTCGTCACTTCTACTTATGCTCATTACGTCGACCCTCATCTACCTGTCCTTCGCACCTTCACAGTCAGAATGCCCTCCAATTCGCTGTACTGAACTGCACCCACCCGTGTGGAAAAACCATATCAACCTGGAAATCACCTCTACCATCAATCACCCATGGCATATACCCACCCTTCCCCTTGCAGCCGTCTATTTACCTCTCCACACCCACCAGATATGCGGCAAGGAGGACAGGCACCGTAAAGAGTTCATAATCTCGTCTATCAACCACCGCCATCAAACCCTCCTTGAATTCTGGCCATATAAGACAGCCCAAGCCCCCAGGACTGCACCCCAAGGTTTCTTTGGGATAGCTACTGGAAGCGCCACCAACAGAACCACCACGATGATAGAAGAGGTGTTCAAGCCGTCTCTCCATGTGTCTCCTGTCTTTAAGTCTGTAGGGCTTGACCCACACGCCTTCTACTCTCCCTCAGCTGTGCACAACGCGGCTCTTTCCTACATCTCCCTCCACTCCCTCTCCGAGCCCTCCGACCCATCTATAGTCGTCCTTGATGCAACGCTCTGCGACGCACTGTACAAAGGCGCGATAAAAAAGGGTGCGACATACCCAGCACAGTGTCTCAAGAGAGACATAGGCCCCATGTTACTGCAGCAAATGCAGGCACAACACAGGGTGGAGAGGGGGGGGAGGAGCGTGGAGCGGAAGGGGGAGCTGGAGCCTGTGGAGATATTTGTGAGGGGGCGACAGGGCAGCAGGAGAGTGACACGGGTGACAGGCGTGGAGGCTTATCTGGTGGAGGCTGAACCACTTGCTGCTGAGCTGCAGAAGAAGTTTGCCTCAAGCGCGTCTGTGGCTCAAGTGCCAGGTGGGTTCAACTGCAACTGGTGCCAGGGCTATACCGACCCTACGAGGTCCCGAACCTACCAGGTCTGGCTGCAGGTTCATGCATTGTCTTTCGTTTAGGAGCACCTCTGATTGCACAGGTGCCAGCCTTGTGAGTATAGCAGAGCTGCAGAGCTGCAGAAATGCTGGAAAAAACCGTTCTTGCTGCAGATGTTTCGCGTGCCGTCTTGTCTGCTGAAGTTCCCATCTTCCATTCCATCCTTTCTTGTGCAATCCTATCCCTGCTCATTTCCCACTCCCCTCCTGTTTCCCCATTTTTCTTCCGTCATCTCTTTTATTCCACGCCACCCTCTCCTTTCATTTTTTGCCTCTTCTTTCCTCTCTGCATATTGAAGCAGGTAAAAAAGGGCAGCATGAGGTGTTTATTCAAGGAGGATTCTTGGACGAGGTGTCTCGGCTGCTTGTGGATGTGCATGGCATCCCAGAATCTCATGTCATGGCAATTGATTATACAAGAAGGTGATGAAGGTAAAGCATCGTGAAAATATTGTACATACGGTAGTGTAAGCGCCTGTTTGGTGTGTTGGGAACAAACAGTCTTAAGCGCCTCTATCGTGTCGAAACTCCAAGACACAAGCGAAGCAGCGCATATCGAAGCACCAGCGAGTCAACCCTCGGAGGTTGATGTAACCGCTGGAGGTTACGCGAAAGTCAAAAGTCAGCGACCTTTGACTTGACAAATGCAGCGCGACAGCAAGGACACACAACTGACTCGACATTGAGAAGTTGCCTGAGTCGCACTGTATCGAACGGCAACAGTAAAATAGTTATAATTACGTCTCTTCATATTCTCTGTATTCATATATATAATCTTGTATCTCTTTGCTTTAATCAACTTACTTTGCCCTCACATATCAGCGCAAGGTGGTTCAAGGACTTCACTCAAAAACGCTTCCGCCACCACATTGTTTACTCAGACTTTAACTCTACCAAAGATCCTAGGGCGTTCAGCCCAACATGGTATGAGAGCAGATTAGAGTTGAAGTTACTTCTTCTCAACACTCAATACACCAAGAGATATGTCTACTAGAAAGGAGAGGATCTCCTCCAACGGCTCTCCTGGTACTACTCCACCTCCTGCCTCTGGCCTACAGACAGAGGAAGGGACAACAACGAGACCAGCAGCTGGGTCTACTGAAACTCCCGCAAACCAAGGCGTGGGCTTCGATCCAAGCATGATGGAGAAATTTTTCTCCTTCATGTCCTTCTACGAGCAGCATCAGCAAGGAGGACCTGCGCAGTCACACAACAGCAACAACGACGGAGCAACACCCATGAGTCTCGACGGCTCATCATATGCACGGGGAAACCAGCAACAACAGCCTACCTTTGCTCCGTACGAGCGCGGATCCATCAGCTTCATGCCACAACCACAGCCCTCACCTGGACAAGAAAAACAATTGGATGCACTGCAAGTTCAGTCGCAGTTCGCACATGTTCTGAAGATGCAGACGTCAAGACCTTTCGACGGAAAGGATTTCTTCACCTGGTCGTTCGAGTTCGAACTGATGATGGTAGGCGCGCAGATACTTCGACTCTTCGACGGGACCCTGCCATATCCAACAAACGGCACACAGTACGAGAAGCAGCAGTACACGTATCAGTCAATGATGGCGTACACGATCCTACTAAGAAACATCACCCCGACTCAATAGCAGAACATAAGGACCTACCGAGGTTACGGTAACTCCGCGGAGCTCGCGTACAACCACCCGAAGAGCTTGTAACAAGCAACAAACAGTGTAAATCAAAGTCGGTTAATGGCGCAACTGTCAAACATTATATATATATGTTGTGTTAGTTTAGGCTACAGTGGGTTAGCCTATAGGGGGTACACAATTCTAGGGTTAGGTACTTGTACTGTTTTCACTGCTAGTTCATTCATTCCTGTTCAGTTATTCCAACATGGTATAGAGCAGGTCCTTCCTAGGACCGAAATTTTCTAAGGGCCCACCACTACGTAACTAACTACCTACCTGTGCCCTAGGGCGCCTCGGCGTGTCCCGCCCCTAGAGGCCCCTCTTGACGGCCCCACGCTAGCCCCGTTCAGGCCCCGTCGGCCCCACGCCCGCTCTCCCTAGCGGCCCCGTTCAGGCCCCGTCGGCCCCTTTAAGGCCCCGTTCAGGCCCCGAGCTAGCCCCGTTTAGGCCCCGTCGGCCCCGTTTCAGGCCCCGTCGGCCCCGCGCTAGCCCCTCTCAGGCCCCGTCGGCCCGCGCTAGCCCCGTCTCAGGCCCCGTCGGCCCGCGCTAGCCCCGTTTTCAGGCCCCGTCGGCCCCGTTTCAGGCCCCGTCGGCCCGCGCTAGCCCCGTTTCAGGCCCCGTCGGCCCCGTTTCAGGCCCCGTCGGCCCGCGCTAGCCCCGTTTCAGGCCCCGTCGGCCCCGAGCTAGCCCCATTCAAGCCCCGATCGGCCCCACGCTAGCCCCGTTCAGGCCCCGTCGGCCCCGCGCTAGCCCCTCTCAGGCCCCGTCGGCCCGCGCTAGCCCCGTTTCAGGCCCCGTCGGCCCCGCTTCAGGCCCCGTCGGCCCCGCTGCTAGCCCCGTCACGGCCCCGTTTGGCCCCGCGCTAGCCCAGTTCAGGCCCCGTCGGCCCGCGCTAGCCCCGTTTCAGGCCCCGTCGGCCCCGTTTCAGGCCCCGTCGGCCCCGCTGCTAGCCCCGTCACGGCCCCGTTTGGCCCCGCGCTAGCCCCGTTCAGGCCCTGTCGGCCCCGTCTTAGGCCCCGTCGGCCCCGCGCCAGCCCCGCTCAGGCCCCGATCGGCCCCGCGCTCGCCCCTCTAGGGCCCCAACCGGCCCCACGCCGACCTCGCCGACCCGTGCCCACCACCTGGAGGCCCCGGGCGACCCGTTCCCGCCGTGACCCGAGCTGCGCGACCCGAGCCGCGCGCCCCGAGCCGAGCCGCGCGCCCCGAGCCGAGCCGCGCGCCGTGAGCCGAGTCGCGCCACCCAGCCGAGCCGCGCCCCGACCTGCCCTACCTGGTTCGTCCTACCTGCCTCTCCTACTGCTACTGCTGCTATTTCTATTGTTCCTATGGCTAGCCCACAGGTTCTCGTGTTCGATGCTGAGGGCTGCCCTGTGAAGTTTGACACCTGGCTCGATGACCTGCACCTCTACCTACAGCTCACAGCCAAGGATGACATCTCACTGTACGATCACGCCCTAGGCCATGTCACTGCCCCTGCTGCTACTGCTGACAGCACTGCTCGCTCACAGTGGCAGACTCGTGATGCCCACGCTCGCTTCGCTATTCGCAACTCCCTGCCAATAGACGAACGCGAGCACTTTGGGCAGCACAAGACTGCACAGGCACTGTACACAGCCGTAGTTGCTCGCTACTCCTCACCTGCCTCTGCCGCGCTAGGCCGTCTCTCCCTCCCCTACCTGTTTCCCGACCTGTCCTCCTTTCACACAGTCGCTGACCTCATCACGCACCTCCGTTCTAGTGAGGCCCGCTTCCGTGCCGCCATGCCTGCTGAGTTCCTTGCCACGCACCCCCCTCCACTCTGGCTCACTCTCTACCACCTAGTCACCCGCCTCCGTGACACACTGCGTGCTGTCAGGGACCACTTCCTAGCTCGTTGCCCCACTGAGCTCACCATTGCCCTGCTCGAGAAGGAGCTACTTGCAGCTGAGACTAGCATAGTCGCTGTAGATGCCTCTCGTGGCGACCCCCGTACCCCGTTCTTTGAGGGGTGTTCTCCTTCCCCCCTTCTTCCCTCTGTCGCCTCTGCTGCTGTTGTCGACCTTCTCGGTGCTGAGAAGGTCGGCGCTGCGTCTGCCTCGAGCGGGCGCCGTAGCGGCAAGGGCAAAGGGGGCAAGGGTGGTGGCGGTGACGGCGGGGGAGGCGGCGGTGGGGGCAGTGGAGGCAGTGGGGGTGGTGGCTCGGCTGGAGGGGCGAGTGGTAGCGGTGGGGGTGGTG